GCCCTGACCGCGGGCGGGAGAGCAATGAGACGGCCGGTTGCAAACAGCGCTTACGAGGGGGATCGCTGGGCGCTGGCTTTGCCCCGAGCCGAGCCGGGCCGGGCCGGGCCGGGCCGGAGCGGCCCCGCCGGCCGTTTGCTCTGCCGCCCGGCCGCTTCATCCCGAGCTGAGGTGACGCCAACACATCGGCAGTTAGCTTGGAGAGGCAAAGAGCAGTTAGCCAAGGCATTAACGAAGACAAGGTAATAGGGAAGAGCTGCCTTTCCCGGGATACCGCCCAGTTGTGAAGGAGCTTCCCTTGGATTTCGGGAAGGTGTTTTCCCAAGTTACAGCTGTACGATCAAATCTTCCTTCTCTGTAAAGTCAGTAAAAGTGGAAATTACTGTTTGTTTTTCTAGCGTTTAAACAACTGGGGGCAGTGAGTTTACAGGTAGTAATTCTTTCTTTCGAAATACCTTGTTCCTGACTAAGGTACCCTCTTCTGCTTGTGACATGCCTGTATCGCTGAAGAAACTTAATCTTCATCCTTGCCTTCCTTTGCCTTCCTGTATTAGTCATGACTTTTTTTCCGTGTGTTTTAACCATGCAGCTTTTTAACTTGGGCGAAATATTCCAGTAAACGAAAGGTGTTTGTTTATTACTTACTTATTTTTATAAAATACTCTAATTGCAGTGGAGTAGTTGCTGTTAAATGTACAAATGTTGCAAGTGTCACAGGTATCGCTTGCCATCGCAGGCCAGGGAAACTCCCCCCCCCCCCCACAACACTTGACCTTTTCACTTCAGTTGGGCCAGCTCGGCTAGGTGCCGTGCAGGCACAGCACCGAACGTTGGCCCTGGGAGCTAAAGATGTGCAGAGCTGCTGTCAGCGGCGTGTGTCCTCTGAGACTCACGCTCCCGGACTCAGAAGTGAGCACTGATACTGAAATGTAGATTTGTGAGCTGACCTTCATTTTAGTATCTCATATTGTACAATCTTCTGGGACTAAAAATACACCGGGAAGCTGGTATGCTCTAATAAGCGTAACTAATACCTCTACCCCGTAGCAGGGAAATCGGTCATGTAGCCTCTGTTCTACACATGCTGTGGGGACTCGATTTGTCTAAGATGCAGGGCATGTGCAGCTCCTCTGATTTCACCTGTGGAAACTGAGAACTGCTGTCCACTGTTATCGCACTCGTTAATCTTAAATGCTCTTTACAAGTGTTGCTTCTGTCTAAGTTTACTGAATCACTGCATGTAGTTGGATGAAATCGAAAGGTTAATATTTGTTTTAGAATAATTCTTTTGAATTTCTGAAACCTTAAATTTTGAGTTGGCGTGATCTTGGAGTAATCTGATGCCGTTATTTCTATGTGCAGAGCTCTGAAAATCCCAGAGCTGGACAAAGGTCTAATTGTATGTATCCATTACAAACTGTCATCTGACTTCGCTATTTAAGTTTTACAGGAGGTCTTTGTTCTTGATTAAACTAATAAAATAGTTATCTTAAAATTGTTTTGCAGATAGGTTCAAGCAAGCTTTGTTTTGCAGTGTGACCTGTAACAGTAAAGTACAGTTTATCTGTTTCTTTAAATACACAACTTGACTCCCAGCCATGCTTTATGCTCTGAGGCTTTGTGATTGAAATAGCTGAAAAGGTGCATGTCATTTCCCCTGCAGTTTTTGTTTTGTTAGTGCTGTCAAACAACATAAATTGAACTTCTTACGTGGGAGGAAAAGTATGATCATGATACGCACAAATGAACCAAGCAGTTTAGTGACTTAAAGTCTGCAGGACACTGGCAGCTAGAAATGGATTCCAGGTCTACTGACTTCCTTGTGCCAATAGTAACCTTTCCCCACCAGATGTATATTTGGGCTTCATAAATTAAATTTCCTAGATCATTCTATTTGCAAAAAATGGTGATCGTTTTGCAGCAGGTGATCTGTCTGTCTGTCTGTCTCTCTCGTTCTCTCTCTCTGTGTACGTATATATAAATATATATATATGTATATATGCTTTTTTTTTTTCTGGTTGGTGTTTGCATTTGGAAGATTTGCTCAACATCTAAGAAGGTGCATGTAAAAATTCATATATTCTCACTGCTGATTTTCTGTCTTCTACCTTCCCACGCTGGTCTGTGCTTTTATGTCTATGATAAGGGAGTGGATAACTAGCAGGACATCTTTGCATGATTCAGTTAATCACTGCTACCAGGGCTGTTTTTCGTGTTCCTGTAGGTTCTTCCTAGAGCTGTAATAGTTGAGTGCTGTTGACCACATATGATTTAAAATGCGATGTTATGAAATAGATAACATGGAAGTTTTAGTGCTATACTTATGTGACTTCTAATGCACTTTCAGATGCTCTTTTCCTTAACTGTTACTCAGATTCAATGCTAGTTTCCGTTGTTGGAATGGCGCTGTACACGGGCTATGTGTTCATGCCTCAGCACATCATGGCCATACTGCACTATTTTGAAATTGTGCAATGATGAAGAACATGTTTTCAAGAAGTAATCATGATCTGAAAATCGTCCTACAAAGAAGAATGAACCTCTTAGTTTTAACAAGACTTCTACAGAGGCTGAAAAGAGAGAGACATAATTATGACTCTGAAGACTAAGAGACCAGTTATGTAGAGAAGGGACGTGAGATGTCCCCTATGTTGTGTTCATTCCTTTTAATTTTACAAGATGCCCTTGTATAGTAGTTTTGTCTATTTTAACATTGTGATTGTACTTTGATATCAGTATTTTCTTAACTTTGTGACAGTTTCAATATTGCACTGTGAAAGCTTTTCTTAATTGTAATTTTGAGTAAATCTTAATTGCCTTCTATTTTTAATCGGAAAGTCATCTTATTAAATGGGGCTTAAAGCTTTTGCTATGGTATGGTATGTATTTGCCTGGATATTTCTATTAATGCATTTTGTAAGAAAATACATCTAGATTCCTATTAGAGACTCAGATATATTCATCTAACACTATTTACAAAGATTAGTTTGTATGACTGAACTCAGGTGTACTATTTGCTGTCCAGACTTTGTTCAACAGTATAATTGTGCATATCAATTGAATTTGGAATTAGCAATTATTTTAAGTTGTTATATTCCACCTGTCGGAGGAGGGTGGGAAAGAGCTGAGATGGAGTGATGACTGCCTTCGTTATGCTTGGGAGTAACGCTGTGGTTGTGGTCTTTACGTAGCGGGAACAGAAGGATATCTCTTTACTGACGTAGGCCCACAGAAAGCTTTGGGATAGCACTTTGTCACTGTTTTTCTAGCTACCAACTAAATTGTACTTTTAGATGATGCTTGATTATGTTCTAAGGGTGGTGGAGAGGAAGTTTCTGCTTCTTTTCACTCAACAGTGTAACTATGTCTAGATTTCAAAGGGTTTTTCTGTTGCTGCTAGCTCCAAACCTGTTCTTGATGCAAACGACCAAAACATGGGGTTTTAAAGGGACTTGAGTTACAGCTACAGCAATAAGGTGCTGAATACTTGGCTGAAGTTCTGTCTTTGTTTTTATAGGGCTTTTTTCAGATTTGTATTCTGAAATGTAAGATGGGAACAACCAAACTTTCTTAAGTGGAGGATTTTTTTGTTTAAAAAAAATAAAAGTTTAAAAGCAGAGCTTTGATGCACAGCTTTATTTGAGAAGTTAATGTGTTTCTGAATGCTGCTCACTTTTTCTCAGAATTTGACATGGGTGAAGACTGGTGCTTGACCAAAGAATTGTAACTCTAATGGCCTAGTAAGAAGAGGTACTTTGATCTTTTATGCAGCTTCTACTGAAATCAGGAATTATACTTAAGCTGCGCAACTAAATTGTTCTATGAAGATATTGTCTTTAGGTTTCGGATATTGGCTCATGAGAAGACAGATTTTTTTTTTTTCTGAGCAGTCCTTTACTTTCATTTAAATTTTATGCAGCTGAAAATTCGGTAGTCGTCTTAGAGCTAAAAGCAGAGTGGGCCTTTAATTTCTTAGATGAATACAAGTTTCGCTGAAGTCAGTAGGACTCTCCCACTAAATTAGTGCCTTGTTTTAGTGTGGAACTGGTTGTGAAAATTATTTGAAAACTGTTAAATGCAAGTCATGGTTATACCTTAGGGGAAAAAATTCCATCTATCACTCATCCTCTGTCTGCATGAGAGGCCAAAGCAGTAGCGTTACTGATATGGTAACGCTAGGGACCACTGGCACGTGATCCTACCTTCGTTTGTTAAAAACTGACAGTGTAAACATAGGCAGTTTTGCCTTTTTTTTTTTTAAGTGGGTCAAGAATTGTACACAAGTATCTTAAATATATGTAGAGATAATGATTAGTTATCCTATTCTTTTTGAAGTAACAAAGCATAATTTCCTGCCATCCAAGGTTTAAATTGGTACTCTTGTTTCTTTGTGAACTACTGTCATCTGCTGCTGAGAGAGGACTTTAGTTGTATGGGGGGGGGGAACCCTTCTGTGCTTTAGAGTTACAAATGTACACATGACTTTAATTGTGAAAGATTTCATAAAGGGGTTCTGTTATACTGACTTTTATAAGCTGTCTGCTTATTTGGTGGAAAAAGAGTAACCATAACCTCTTAACACTTGTATTATGTTGGAGCAGGCTTGATTGATATCATACTTCTAATTCAATTTGCTAATTTATGTACGGTCTTTTTCAGCACTTCCTTTTTAACTATAAATCAAGAGTCTCACAGAAGCCTTGGACTGTTCTTTCAGATTCCAGATGCTTTATTAAAGGTGGAACCATTTCTCTTCATTAATACAGTACTGCTTGCTACTAGAGTTTGTGTTTCCTTTTTTTTTTTTAAAAAAAAGTATTTGCAACATGCGCTTTTCATAAAGCTGGTCTAGTGAAGAGAGAGTTCAAGGTCTGATAATTATGAAGCTGAATAAGTTTTTTTTTTTTTTTAAAGTAAGGCTATCAGCAGGGATTTAATTCATCATTAAATTTGAATAATAAATGAATTATAAGGCTACCAAGTTGTTTTCCCAGTGCAGTCTGTTTTATTGTCATGTCAATTGGGGGAGATCACATCCTTCTTATTACATAACTATAAGCCTTTTCTGTGGAATTCAGAGCTAGAAGGCAATTTAAATATTATTTGGAGGCAGCTAGTCAATTATGCTTCTGTTCACAAAGGATGATAGTAACTGAGCCATCAGCATTTTAAATAGATAACGCTGGAAGAAGTAATCATGAGCAGTATTTCTTTTAAACAAAAATACCTCAGAGCTCTGAAAGCAGCTTTATGTTAGTCTTTTAATAGCAATAGCTCTCGGGGTTTAGCTTGAGTCATCTGAAATAAGCATTTAAAAATGTATTAGTTCTGTTACAGCACACCTGATGATACCAGCTCCTTTGGGGAGTTTCTGCCTGGGGCCGGCAAAGGCGGGCTGCCCTGCCAGGAGTTGCTGCACAGCTGGGAATAGGCTCCCATTACCCTGGCTGTCATAGAAATAACCATCAAGCATCTGCATGGTAGGCACTGTCATAACCAGAAGAGGAAACTGAGGCATGATATTACACAAAGTTTGTGTGGAGCCAGAAGTGGATCTAGGACCTCTATGCCGCTACTGTATTTTAGTGATGAGCACGTTCTTGCGTGCTTTTGCCTCTGCATTTATAGTCAGTGCATAATTTTCACACCCGTTTGTGATCCTTAAAACGATGTGTCATTTTCCCCTGCAACATCAAGGGCTTTATCTTCAGTAAATAAATAAAATCCTCTGCCGGTAGACCTTATATTTTAATTTCTTCCTCAGACATGGATACTTTTCCGAGTTCATTGGATCAGGCTCCAGCAATACCTGCCTGTAACGTCCTTAGTGGCTGTGATAACTGTTTATTTATTGTCAGAGGTCGTTATGTAGCAATTAGTTTGGAAACAGACTGCTGTTTTTGCTGATTTCTTAACTACTCTTTAAAAGAGACCAGAGAATCTTAATGCAAGTCTCGTAGCAAAAGTTAAACAATAAAGTTGCACCAGAGAGCATGAAAAGCCTTTGTTAATTGTGCATTTATGTGAATATGCAGAATGAAAAAGGAATAGCCCTGAAAGGGCTATAGCACTGTAAAGTTTCATCTTAGTTGTGAGACAGATATGCGTTACACTGCTGTAAATCGTTGCAAATGGAGTGACATTATGAAGTGTTGCGCTGTCTGTCATTCAGGCACAGCAGTGAACAGAAATACCTGTTACCGGCTAACAACAAAAGGTTATATTGAAATGAAGAGACACATCCTGAAGGGATCTGCTGCTACAGCATTAGTCCACAAAGTTGTGGAGCCAGAAGTCATCTTCTAAAATACCAGAACAGTGTTCTCTAGGCTTGGGACCCCAGTAAAGTTTTCCAATGTCAGAAGTTCCTTTTCCCCTGCTGATTTGCCTGAGTTTTCTGTTTCTACCCACCTTTGCTAGGGCTGTGGTCTGTCTGGTGCTCTGCCCTTTTGTTAAGTTTGACTACTGCTGAATGGTGGTCATTTGGGAGCCAGTTTTCAAGCCTGCTGCTTTCCTCTTATTTAGGATAGCAGGAGTCTTTTTTTTTTTTAAATCTCTCTCTAACTTCTGCAAGTAATGTTTCTTTTGTTTGTTTCTTCATTCTAACACTTTTAAAACCAATATACCTGTCTTATTTTTCCTCAGATCCATTCCCTTTCTGACCTTTTTCAGAGCAAAGTGCAGACTGGGTCAGTGACGGTGTGGGTCGGACAGAATTACCCCGGTGTTCTGCTGAGACGCAGACCCTTCTGGCCAGCAGCATAACATCTTGATTGCAGGTTTTTTGGTGTTTTTAGTTGTTTTTCTTTCTTAATATCACTGGGAGTAAGCTAACCTATTCAGTCTTAATTTAAAAATAATTTTAGCGTGGAGGGAATTGATCTACGGCTGTGTCTGGTGGTGTTGGTTTTGTTTCTTCCAAAGTCATTTAAAAGGAGGATTGTAAAGAAGTAAGGTTTTAGTCTGGTCTAGGTCATCTATATTGAAATCTTAAAACTTCTATTCTCTTAAGTGTGTTTTTCATTTTATTGCTTTTGTAGTCTCCCTTTTGACTGCATATATGTATTTTCCATCAATTTGGGCAATTTGGCTGCTAGTATTTCAGGGTGACAAAGCTAGTAGATGTTTGTCAGAGTAAGAAGTCATTTTATTTTTGCCATAGAGATGTAACTGTACTGTATTTTCTCTGGTATTTGTAATGGGCAGGCAGTTTCCTATCAGTTCATGAAGACATCTGAGCTGTAAAAGTTGGGTTGTATTCAGTGATTAAATTCAAGACTTTGAAACGGGCTTGTGTATGTAACATGTAGGAGAAGCTTAGGCAGCTGTGGACACAGTTTTCAGTTACTTACACATACTTACAGTTTTTTCATATAAAAAAGGGAAATTCATTATATTGTTCTTTTCCATAGGGGTGATTGATTTAATTACACATTAATAAATCCCACTGCTATAGTGGGAAAATGGTTTCTTTCTTCCCCTCTTGCTCAGATGTTTTCCTGACAACTGTGTGTTTTTTCTCTCTTTTTAAATCACAAGCATAGAGCTTTCCCTTTGTTTGCATTGTTTCTCTGTTTGATCTGCTGTGGACAACATGTAACAGTCATTATCACAGTCATTATCACAGTCACTGAGTAGAACAGTCCCTGACTTTTTTTCCTTTTGTCTATGTAGTGATAACTTAAGGAGAAAATCTGGCATCGTAGTCCAGAGCTGAATCTAACTTCCTCTCTGTTTAATGGGGAGAGATGAAATTTCAGATCTGAGATATCCCAGAGTGGGATTTCAGCAGAGACTCCTCTGTGGTTCATGTTTTTTTTTTTTTTTAAACACCTTTCAAATTTAGTGTATCATTCACTAGATCATCACAAGATCCTCAGTTTGTATAAACTGTCGTAGCCTGATTGAAGACTAAGAAATTACGACCATCCACTCTCCCTGAGAGTTTGGCTTGATAAGAACTGAATAGGCCTTGACGCAAGCCTAATTCAAACTTTGATCTAATTTTTTTTTCTAAGTCAAGATTTTCCTTTACAATAGTTTTGCAATGGTGGCACGTGTCCATCTTAAATGTGCATACCTTGAAATAGAATGGTGAAATTAATTTATGCAATATCTTGTCATTGAATGCTTAACACATTGTGAACATGCTAGGAGGTATTCTTGGCTGAAATTCAGACTATGCTGATGTTGTATTGCTAGCGAATCTTTTAAAAGCGGTTTTGTGGATTCTGTGAGCCAATCTGGTGTCTGTGCTTAACAGGATTCTGGGGGGAGTTTTTGTTGTGTTTAAAAAAACCAAAACTTCAAGGTGCCAAAGGCACTGGCTAGCACTTTATTTTGTAGTTAATACTGCTTATTTTAACAGTGAATAAGAACACAGTATTAATGTACAATTCATAACGTGCATCTGCTTATGGACCATATATTTAGATCTTGCAATTTGAATGTACAGAAGCATGTTTTATCTTGGAAGGAGGCCTGTCAAATATTAGGGACTCTTTTGTGCTCACAGCAAGTTCCTTATATTACCCCCTTGACAACAGCAAAATATGTGGCCCCAGATGCATATGACTCATTGGCATTTTAGAGCCTGTTAAGAGATTCCACTTTGCTATGCAGAGAGGGCCCTCCGCTAATTACCTTCTTCATTTTGAAGGATCTTTAAAATGAGATACAGTGATTCTAATCTAAAATTGGTTCATTATGTGAAACCAAAAGGGCAGTGCATACAGTGAAATTAATGTCGCAGAAGAGAGGCTGAAAAATGAAAGTTTTGTTTGTCTTTACTAGACAGGCATAAGGAGAACGGATGGACCAAAATTCACAAAGCCTCTGGTTTCTGTGGAACTTCAACTCTTGCAAACTGAGTGTTTTTAGGAGGTTCTAGTGTTACGGAAAATGTAGGATTATTTCCCTAAATAGGAAAAGTAATCTTGTTTTCACATCACAGGGTTGAAACTTACATGATACAATCTGAAGCTGCTATCTGTGTGTGACCGATCACTGCACGCCTACAAGGGGAGAAGGCTCAGAGGAGATGGGTAAGGGCCGGGGGGCCCAGGAAGCTCAGGAATAACGTAGGGTGTCACTGACCACAGCTGTGGCACAGAAAGCTGACTTTATCTCAACACAAAGGGAACTGGAGGGTGACCTTTGCTTTAGATAAACAGCTAGGTCAGTTGAGTGGATCAAACGTTTCTCCCTGTTCATCAAAAAGTTCAACAAAAGAGTATGAATGTCTCCCTGAGTTAGCCAGACCAGCCTGGGGGGAAGCATATACATGGCTCAGCCCAGCATAGAGTATAAAACCTGAACAACTGACAAAAGACTTTCGAAGAGAGCAGTGAGCTTGAGCTGGCTTCAACCCACGTATTCCTTCCTGGCAACTGGGGATGGTGAGTATACTGTGGAGACTGGTATTAGGGATCACATTGTACTGTATAGCAAAATTGCTATATTTTGCTAAGTGTATACACCTGTGTTGTGATTTTTAGTATATTGCTGTATCATTCTGCTAAATCAAAAATCCTGTGTAATATCAAATATCTTCAAAGAAGTAAATTTTGATTTTAAACATTATACCCTCCATGTGTGGAATATCCAGAAGAACCTGGTCAGAGGGCATTGGACTCTGATGTTTGCAAAAACCTCAAAATTTACCAGATTAAAAAAAAAAATCTCATTTCGTGTGAATATAACAGTTATCAAATTAGGAGCCTTAAACAACAGAAGATTTGGTGTAAGGGATGTAATACTGTGTTGATTCTTGAGCTGCATATTAGACTGCGTGGTTAGAGTGTGTAGACACATGGCTTCACTTGGGATGGAGCTCCTGCCAGCACTAAGGGCACCTGATGGCGTTGTTGAGACATTGTTTTGTTTAGCTTTGGGATGGTGGTGTTTGGGATTAGAGAATGAAC